TGGCAGGGGTCCAGTCAATCCGTTGGAGCCCAGGGAGCTCTGAGACCCCATATTCTGCAGACTGTATACCGCAGAGAATGTTGGCTACAAATCACCTGTGATGTAGATTGGGTGGACAATGTGGTGGCTGTGAGATATAGAAACCCATGTGTTTGAGTGTTATAATGAATGGTGTTGGAGACTGTAATCTTCCATGCAGGGGAACAGTGGCTGTGATCTATAATAGGTTCCATAATAAGGACAAATGGTATGCCATAAAAAGAGGATATGGCAGGGGCCAGTGTAAGGTGTACAGTGAGCCAGCCGTGTGGAATGCATGCCCTGATGGTCAGTTGGACTTCCTGTCATCTCATGCCCAGGTGAATGCAAATGTGGGTGAAGAGAACATGAAGACGAACTGAAAGCAGCTCTGTCCTGTACAGCAGTGGTTCTCAAACTTTTTGGACCAAGTACCACCCCAGATCAAACCAAAGCATCCAAGTACCACCTACAAGTCATCTTCTATCAGGAACCACAGAAAATCTCAAGGACCAACATTAGCATACACACACACTCACTCACACACACACATATAATAAAAATAGCACTGAGCACTTACCATTTCAGTGAGATCCTGTTTAGTCGAGCAAAGCAGATGTGAATTCATTGATTGAGCCTTGATACAATTAACAACTTTGACAGCAGAGTCTAACAGATTTTAAATCCTCAGGCATTTTCTTTACTGCCAAGGCCCTGCGGTGGATGCTGTAGTGCGTCCACTTCATATCTGGAGCAACCTCGCTAATTCGTACAACTACACAGCTACGGTATGTCTGCCTGTTATCGCTCTATCACAAACTCCGACGCATTTTTTCCAGTTGATGTCATTCTCTTCGATAAATTCATTCAGAAGCTGAAATATGTGCTCTTCTGTAGTTCTTGTTGGTAGCAGCTTACAGAACAGAAAGTCCTCATGGGACGTGCCCTCAAACTAACATCTAACGTAAACGAGCAAATTGGCCAAATCAACGTCATCTATAGACTTATCTAATTGCAGTGAAAAGCATCTGCTCATCTTAATGTGCTCTATCAGCATACTTTTGACATCACCCGCCATATCAATAGTTCTACGAGTGATTGTGTCATTCGAAAGGGGCAGGTTTTTCTCCACACATAATACGTCAGCTCTTTTGCCAACGGTAAACAAAGTTCTTCACAAATTGTGTGGGGCTTACCTGCTTTAACAATTTGCAAGCTTGCATTTTTCTCCGTTTCCATTTCAGGAGTCCATCTCATAAGTTAAAAGATTCTTATTTCATGCACATGGGAGCGGAACACAAGACGCTCTGTGTATTTTTCTCAAAATAACCTAGAACACTACTTAATTATTTTTCTGTTATCTATCACGCTTTCCTGTGCCTACAAGATTGTCATTGTTTCAAAATCACGCACATTCTCCTATCTCCCTATTTGCTGGAAATAACTTTTTTAAATATGATTGGCCTTCCTATACAAAAATAGTATTACATAGTACAGTAGCTCTTGTGTCCTCTCAAGTATTAATGCACGCTGTATTGTAGTACGTATGTAGTTGTAGTAGTGCGTATTTGACACATAAACTCATTTTATTAAAATAGAAAATATGAAAACCCATCCCAATTTTTCAGTGCACACAACAAATTTCCAGGGTCATCTGGCGTACCACTTGGGGGCGCTCTATCTACCAGCAGTAGTATGCATACTGTACCACAGTTTGAGAACCACAGCACAGCTGTACTGTAAAAGGACCAGGGGTTTCCTGTCTGCTGCTGGCTCTCTGACACAAACTCAGCCTGGAAAAACTTGAGAAGATGCAGCTACAGAGTGCTTGAGACACAGGCTGGCCGAATTGTAACTAGAAGCACTGGCAGCTGCAGGATTACTGTGAGCATTTTCAAAGAAAATTGTGAGTATACTGTTTGAGGGTGGTGAAGGTGCGAAGTGTGAAAGAAATAAAAGCAAAATTGGGCGGTACAGTGGCACATTGGTAAGCCTCACAGCACTGGGGCCCTGCGTTCAGTTCCAGACCTAGGGTGCTGTCTGCATGGAGTTTATGTGTTCTTCCTGTGTTCACTTCCTCCAGGTACAGTACTGCAGTTCCATCCCACAATCCAAAAATACAGTATATTGGCTGTGGTGTGAGCGTGTGCCCTGCAATGGAATGGCATCCCATCAAAGGTGTACTCAGCCTTGCTCCTGTTGAAGGGGTTAGAAAATGTATGGATGGGAAGGATAAAAAGAAAAGTGTGAGATAGTATTTTGAGAGGGATCCAAGAGCTCATGTACTGTATATATTTGCCCATAATGAGCTCACCCAGTGGGGTGGAACCTGTATCTTTTACACTTTTATTTCCTCAATTTGATTGAGTCTTATTTATTCATACTTGACTGGAAAATAAAATATTGTAACAGTAATATGTTTTTCTTATTTTAAATATGAAAAAATTGACCTCATTGGTTACATTTAAAGACTTAAGAATTCTGTGATTGAAGGTTTTAATCTATGCTAATACTTTGTAAAATATACCCAGTAAAATGCATCCTAATTGTGAATTTGTGCAAATGTGTCTTAATTACATTTTGTCAGTACAAATTAATTTTAATAAGTATTTTTTTTTATTTACACCTGCTCCATTTAGGATCATTATTTGATACATTAATAGAATTCATGTTAAATAAAGATACTGTCATTTAGTTTAGTTTATTTTGAATAAAGTTGCATATGATCAAAATGTTCTATTATCATGCACATTTTATATAGAAAAAAAATAAAAAAGAAAGCTAATCTTAAATACTCATTCACCACACATTTATAATGCAAACGTATATCTTTAATTTGTCCTGATAACGATTGTTCAGTTTAATTCTGCAGAGCACAGAACATTAATTACAGAACAAGGCTGTAATTACAAACATTATTTTTGTGTTGCAAAAATAATGAGAACAAGAAAATAATCATTGCCCCCAACTGTTACAAAACTGAAGGTGATAGAATTACAAAATAAGTGGTAATTAAATATAAAGATCAATTAAGAACTGAGTCCTAACACCAGCTTGCTAGTGTCTTGTTAAATTCAGGGATTGGCAAGAGTGATATAGTATGTTTTGTTTTTTTTTTATCCTCTGGCACAACTGTATAATACAGTAATAGCTAAGATAGTTTAGACAGAAAAAATCTAATAATTTATTTAAAAAAAACATATACAGGAACACAACACACAGCAGTTATACTATGACTAGAGATATACAGGTCTGTGAGTTCCAGAGGCCTTCCTATAGGTATATACAGTAGATAAAATTCCAGAATCCTGCTCCTATAATCTTAATACACAAAATCATCACAAGCCAAAAAGGGAAATAAATCATATTAAATAAAAAATAGACCCTAACCAGGACTAAATCCCCTTCACTAAACAGGTGCTTACAAGTGGATGGGAGCAAAATTCATTGTTTGAAATAAGGCATCAGTGAAACAGTAGAGGTATTTTTAGCCTACTGACTCCACCATATAGGAAATCAGAATTTTCTAGAATATACTGCATTTCACGAGGAATGACGGCAGCCGAAAGCTTGTGAGAAATTAAAATCATTTATTGAGATGTGGAGATTTGGCGTAACCCACTTGGCTGAGGGCCGACCTCCCGGCCGTTGGACGGGGAGGATAGGACCCCCCAAAAGAACCAAGCGGGACCCCCAGTCACCAGTGCAGAAAAAAACAAAAACAAAAACAAAAACCAAATGATTATTAAACTAATTCAGCCGAGGAGAGAAGGTGCCTGCTTGAGGGTACCAGGGTTAGTTTTGATGTATGCATGATAAGCCTCAGAGGACCATCGGCCGAGTTGTTTGATGAGATACTCGGGGATGCCTTGGC